TTACATAAATTATAATGGGGAAATTGGATTCGCTTGACATCGTTTCACTTAAGTAGCACTTTTTAGGAATATAAGTGAAACGATGTCAAGCGAATCCAATTTCCCCATTATAATTTATGTAAATAAGCGGGGTTAGGTTCCAGGATTGGCTTCGCTTGACATCGTTTCACTTAAGTAGCACTTTTTAGGAATATAACTACCACGTTAAGCGAGGAGTTACTGTACTCTATGTATACTCTAATTGTTTTTAATAGGTAAACCAGGATGAGCATGGCCAGCTCTGGGATGTGAGACATAAAGGGGAGGACGGGGGGTTGGGAAGAATACTAGTGCAGGGCATATGGGTATATTTTATATAGTTTGTGTTCAGAGGAGGCAGGATATGCCTGTGCATTTGTCTCAGTTGGAACTGACAAGATTTACCCTCCCTAATTTCCAGAAGTTTTCTTTTAGAAAAGAGGCTCAGGTCTTTTCTTAGCAGAGGGAATCTTTCCCCTCTCTCCCATATGGAGATGGATTAAATTCAGATGGGTTCAGCAAGCTGGTACTTTTTAGGATGCTACAACTTTGTGCTCCAGCAGCTTCAGTCATTATGTAAAGCTATGATTTGCCCTCACTGATTTATGCAAAACGTTAAATCTGAAGGCGAATGATGACAGTTAACAACAAAATTTAAAACTTTCATTGCTGATTACATGTTAGTCTGCACAACCCACCACAGTAACATCTCACTGCAGTGGCCTTGTCTTCACTGCTAAAAGATGAGTTTTCATCTGGGGTGACTAACTCATGAACTATCCTTCAATTTAAAAAAAACTGAAACAAACCCACAAACAGTGGAGACCAGGAGATAAACGAAGCAGGGCCAACCACAGCAGGAGGACAGTGATGACCTCACCAAGTTTACATCAGAGTGAGACTGAAGTGCTTTATCTCCAGTGTGGAGCCCATGATGTCACACACACACACACACACACAAACCAGTTAAAACCCTAAAGACAAGGCCTAAAGCTCTGACCCTCAAACGGTAGGTGAGCAGGAGGCTCCGGAGCCAGCACGTGGGGAGCGAACACAGCTCCCCGGACAATCCGGTTACCTAACGCCAGAGCAGAGCCGACCCCAGCAAAGGGGAGCCAAGCCGGAAGTATCGCACCACAGGCTCCCGAGGTAGAGTGCCCGCAGCCTCTAGTCCCCGCCACACCATGGGGATGGGCCCGGTTTTCTGGGCGGAGTTTAGGACACCACCCCACCCCCCATTTCCCGCTCGCCGGCGCCAGGAGAGCTCGGCCCCCCCAACCCCCACCCGCCCCCGCACAGTCACCGGGGACAGTCACCGCCGAGGCCAGTGCGGCGGCGGGGGGAATCGAGCTCTTCAGGCGGGCCTGGGAGACCGCATCAGCATAGCCGTCCGCAGCAAGGCTGCCCCGCTACTCACGCTGCCCGGGGCCTCCGGCGCTCTCCCGGCTCCTCTGCTGCACTTGCTGCCGGAGGCGGCTGCGGCCGAGCGGGTGCCCATCCTGCGGCTCCGGGGCGCCGGGGAGTTCAGGGATAGGAACTCGGAGCTCGAGTCCATCAGGTCGTAAAGGGACCCCTGGCCGCCTCCGGCCGCGGCGGACGGGATGGGACGGCCGCGCCCGCTGCCCGTGTTGCTCCGTAGCATCACCATGGCCGGACCTGTTCCGGCTGAGGAGGGGGGCGGCGGCTTCTCTCCGAATTCTGGCGCCACAAACCGCGGGCCGTCGCTTCACCGCCTTTCCGTCGTATCTCTCCGCCTCCACCCCTATTAGAGCCGTAGTGCGACTACTGAGAGACAGCAGGTCGTGTGGTACCTGCTGTTCCTGTTACACTCACTCATCCTGCGCCCCCCCCCCCCGAGGAGACCGTTCCGCTCCCTCCGCCCTTGGGACTCTCTTTCCCCTTGTCGGCTAGTCCCGGACAGGGTGCGGAGAGACACGTACCGGTACTGAGTCCTTTTGGAATTTTTGGCGCGTGCAAAGTTGGGGGAAGTGTTTTGCCCGGCTCTGATTGGCTAAGAGAAACGCGCTCAGCCCGCCTGCTCCATCGCTTCCCGCGGAAAGGGGATTCAAATGCCAGTCCCTTAAAGAGACACTGCCCGAGATCTCGCACAGCTGTTCCTCGAGGAGCCAGATCCCCGCCAGGCAGGTGCAGGTCTTGTAGGAGCCTGCTGTAAAGGCCAGGGCTCTAATTCAACGGGTCCTTGTCACTCTGTCATTACCCCCCTCAATGCCCAGATGCGGGGCATTCAGGGTCAGGGATGCACACACACTCTGCCACACACAGGCACGCAAGGACACGCACACACGCTGCAGCTGGACTGGGCACAGGACAGAGGGAGCTTTCTCGCAGCAGCTGCTGTCTCAACTTGCTCATATACTTAAAAAGACAGTGTACTTTGAAAAGCAACAGAGGGTCCTGTGGCACCTTTGAGACTAACAGAAGTATTGGGAGCATAAGCTTTCGTGGGTAAGAACCTCACTTTTTACCCACGAAAGCTTATGCTCCCAATACTTCTGTTAGTCTCAAAGGTGCCACAGGACCCTCTGTTGCTTTTTACAGATTCAGACTAACACGGCTACCCCTCTGATGAGTGTACTTTGAGTGGGGTCTATGTACTTAAAGGGGCATGCCCACCTCTCAGAGGTTCATTATCAAGTTTCCCCAGGTAATGTTTGCAGCCACTGCCATGCATCTATTGTCTCCTCCCTCCATTTATGCTTCTTTGTACAGTGTGAGGTTACATTAACAACCTGTTAACCCCTGAGGGCTCAGCCCAGTGTTAGTTCATCATTTAGCTGCAAGGCATTCCCTGGGAAGCATCCCACCCTCTGACGCCACAACCTCAACCAAGCTTCACAATCACCATTGTTGTGTACACTATTACATTGTTTGTTTAAAACTTATACGGTGTATATAATGTCTTTTGTCTGGCAAAAAAAAAAATTCCCTGGAAACTAACCCTCCCCTCCTTTACATTAATTCTTACAGGGAAATTGGATTCGCTTAAAGTAGCATTTTTCAAGGAGTTACTGTATTTACTTAGTAGCTTATCTGTAAATTCTTATTTTAGAAAACATTGGCCTTTGGGTCTCGTGGGCCCAGCTAAGATGGGGACATAACACTAGTAGCCAGCATATTCCATTACAAAAAGAGTGCAACTACATTTTCATTCCAAAATAGACTGTTTAAGCAAAACAGGTTAGTTTTTCATTAAAGTCCGTCCCCTGCTTCCTCTGTTTTCTTCCATCCTCCTGAACAATAAATTGAACTTAAGTTTTAAATATTAAAATTTAATTCTCTCAAAAAGTTTAGCATATTTCAGTTAAAAGTACACTGTCAGCTACAAAGCTCATATCTAAACACTGCAAATGCTGATATGTTCTCATCCACAAAAATTTGAGAGCCTACTGTAGTTTTGATGTGACAACAGCATTTTGCTGAAGTGTCATGGCCTGGAAATAAATTAAGTATTTTTTTGTGATGTTAGGGAAAAAATACAAGCAAATAAAAAACCAAACTTTCCACACAGTCCTTCCTATAGGTAGCCCTACCCATCACCAAACTATGGGGCAAGACATAATAGATACTAGAGAAGTGCACAACAATGAATACAGCTTTTTAAAATAATAAAATAGTCTTTTACATTATTAAACCTCATGACTGTATGGTGCACTTTATAAAAATAAACTGTTTTGTGTATTTTATGGCCCACAAGATGAAAGGCCCTTGTGCAGCCATTAAAAGCTTGCTTAACCTGGCAAAGCTGCCAGTTTTCAGGGCTTAAAACTAGCTCAAGAATCTCTTCCCGCTGATTTAACAAAAAAGACAACCAGAAATAAAGGTATTGTATTTAACTTTAAATCTCTATTTGGCCATGTACAATTAAGATGTAAAACACTTCTCTGGGGATGTTTTCCATGCACCCTGTGAACAGGCTTCCTTTTCATCCTCAACATCTTAGCCCACAAAAGCTTATGCTCAAATAAATTTGTTAGTTTCTAAAATGCCACAAGTACTCCTCATTCTATCTTCTTCCCTGTGGCTCAAGGCCAATCTCTCCTGCACTAACAGCTCCAGATTCCATTCCTCTGCCCTTCTTGATCAGTGCCAGCCCACCCTACCCTCTTGATAAGGCTCAGCCTCTGTCCTGGTCTCTCCCTCACCTCCATTGTAAGCTCAGGATCTCTCCTGGTCTCATCTCGCTCCCCACTCAAGCCCTCTCTTCCTAACGTCTGACTGAGCTTAAGTTTCCCCACTCTTCTGGCTCAACCTGCTCCCCTCTCTCCTGCCTTTGATGCAGCATGCTGGAGCTTAACAGCAATAGAAATTATCTCGCTTTGCGTTCAAGTTAAATTGCCTCCCGCCTGCCTGAGTTCCTAGTAGTCATGCAATAACAGCCGGCTTTCCTAGGGGAAGAAATTGCTTGTAACTCACCAATTTCCTGCACAACCCACAAACACTTCCTGAGCAAACTGCTGCTTTGTATAGCTGGGGGAAGCGCCAGTGCTGCCTTCTGGTATATGAGCCGGTTAAACCTTCCCCTAGCCAGTCCTCCCATACACCTGGATGTGGGTCACCTATGGAACAGCCAGGGGTAGCAGCAGCAGCTGCTAGTTATCAGCCAGCTGCCCCTGCTCGGCACGCCTGTGTGTACACCAGCTGCTACTGGTAAGGAGCAACAGACATGTAAGAAATGCGGCGTGCTGGGTACATCTGCTTTCTTCTTCACTGGTCAAGTAATAAGTGCACCAAGAGAGGATGCACCGAGGGTTAGGGTTCCCTATTGCAATCTCCCATGTTTCCATTTCTCGTTAGAAATTCTGCACGTATTCTTGCAGGAGATAAAGTGGAAGAAGTTAGGTCGTAAGAGCCAGGAGAGAGAGTATTCTTCTTACAGTAACATTTGGTATTATAGGATAAAAGGGTGCATTGGTTAGAGAGTACTATAGTTTACAGAGAGTCCTAATCAGGATTATTGGAAGATGATATACTGGGGAATAACAATATACAGGATCATTGTACAGCCTCCTGGATAGTTTATCAGTTAAAAAATAATTTGTGGTTCCATTAGTATTTATTGTGTGTCATGCCCAGTTATTGTTATCAGTGGCATAGTTTATTTGGAATTGTACAGAACTATTACAATAGTAATATTAGGCAATAATGATTTTATATACAGGGATTGTTAATATTTTTCACTAGCATCAGATGGAAGTCTATTTAAAAATTACAAATATTTTTAAATATCAGGGGGTAGCCGTGTTAGTCTGTATCTACAAAAACAACAAGGAGTCTGGTGGCACCTTAAAGACTAACAGATTTATTTGGGCATAAGCTTTCGTGAGTTAAAACCTCGTTGCATCCGAAGAAGTGAGGTTTTAACTCACGAAAGCTTATGCCCAAAGAAATCTGTTAGTCTTTAAGGTGCCACCAGACTCCTTGTTGTTTTTGTAGATACAGACTAACACGGCTACCCCCTGATATTTAAAAAATGG